CTCGTTTATAAGAAGGGGATGACAATGTCTATTTCACTGGATTACTGAAAGATTCAATGAAAAAATGTATGTAAAATGTTTCAAGTGCTTGGTACATACTGGCCACTCCATGGTACGTACTCTGACTCAAAAGCGTGCGCCGCATTTAATGTTTATGTGCTGGTATGTATTTCAGCAAAAATCATTACCTGCTAAGTGTCAGGCCCAGTGCTGGGCACTGGGAATATGTACGCTAATGACCAAAAACAAGATGCTTCCCAAATCTATGGAGCTTACAGACAGGCTATTTGCCTGTAGGGTTGCACATAAAATGCCCAAATGCCTCTTGGAAGCTGAATTTTGGACATGAAGATGAAACTGATGACCTAGAGCATGAAGTAAGCCAATGAATGAGCACAAGCAACGTTCACGTTTCCCCTCACTTTAATCTGCAATTACAGATAAGAAACATCATGCTTGTTCTCTACCCTCCAAAACTGATGACTAAATTCAATGGAAAAAGGAAGACAAACTTCCAAAAGCTCCAGGGGAATCTAGGATTAGCCCAGAATGGCACAGATGATGGGAACGAGTCTGTAGAAAGTTGTAGCATGAAAGCATCTGGTAAACGATCCATTAGCCTCTGCTTGGTTGCCAGAGAGAGTCCCTCAACCAAGTTCCTTAATATGAAAGCGAAAGTAGATCTAGTTACATAGATTAGGGAAAGGGAAGAGAAGAACATGTAAACCTTGGTCGAGGAATAACGTATTTCACACATGTATTCTCCTTCTGTTCCCAAGGACGTGTATTTGCTAGTGCCAGGGCTTTACACCTGAAAGGAATCAGGAAAGAAAGGGCTATGCTGATCACATTTTCTGTGGCTCTTCTCAGCCCCTCCTCCCACTGAGAGGTTTTATAAGCTGAAATCGGGAGGCAGAAATCTTGCCTGACCTAGCATGAAGCCTCTCTCGCAGCCGATTCGCCGACAGAGGCTCGCGGGATAGAAAGCAAAGCAAAGTCATGCACCAGCAACCTGCGGGAGGCTCTGTCGCTGTTCCTAAGCCAGTCAAGTCCTGGCTTCCAGGCTCTCATTCCCACTGGGATTAGGACCAGAACCAGAAAGTGCCCAGGTACTGACATACCCTTTAGGGAGAATACATTTTAAGGTTAAAAAAATCTTACAATTCTTTATAAGTCAGTTGTTCGAATTATTATTCAATACCAACCCTGTGCCCTTCACTGGGATGAGCAAAGTGAAGTACTTCGGACCCGTCAACGATGAGGGGAGCCAAGAACCAGCCCCCACCACCCCGTGTGACAGGGAATGATTCTTCACAGGAGCCGAGGGGACTTGTGACAAATGTCCGATGTTGCCAAGCCTGTTGACACACCGCGAAAGCCCTGTGCTTGGAGCCATCTTCCTCTTCACCAGTGGCCATGACGTTGTGTATAAGGTTCCACCATCAACCAAGCTTTTCACTCAGCACTGTGGCCTTGGAGGAGCTGAGCGCTGCAACAACAACCAGCAGTTTTCCAAACACTCCAAGGCAGCAACGGGCTTTAGAAACTGCCTCGAGGCTTCTGACATGTGTTTGGCTGGTCCAGGGTGGTTCTCCTGGAAGGGGGCCGTGCTGTCACTTAGAAGCCAGCAGACTGCATGCCAGACTTTCAGTGCCCAGCAAGTAATGGAATTTTAATATCCAGGAATGAGGGAGGAGGGGAGGATAGCAACTGGAGTGACTTCTCCCGTTACACTGCTCTTGCACAGTGCATGGAAATCCCTCCTGAAATGCATCCATCTTCACTGGCTCTTGAGATGTCAAACTGCACTCACCTTGGATCCGCGGGCACCTTCTACCCTTGTACACGAGAGCACTGTCCCATCACACCACTAACCTGCACCAAGACGCCACGCCATTGTGGTTTGATGCATGGGCCTCAGAGTCAGACCGGGCTCTGGAGCCAGCCCTGCCACTGACTAACTGAGTTATCCACCAGTGTAAAGCCTCGGTTTCCCCATCATTAAAATGGGGATGCCAGCCAAATTGTTACAAAGATTAAATATTCTTTTATCCAATAATTCATGTAATACCTTTAGCATGATGCCTCCCGTGGTGAAAATGTTCCATGCTATATTTTTAAGAAGTGCCTGATTTTATTTTATCATTAATGGTGAGTCTAAGAGATCCTGATTTAGTTCACTGGTTTTCTCTGAACAATTTGGGGCAGGATTTACCTTTCTGGGAGTTTAGTAAGAAGGTTCTTGATTGTTCTCCCACTGGAAGTGGAAGATCCTGGGCACTAGAACGGATTGGGTTTGAGGTTAAAGCCTGATGTGACTCAGACGGCTAAAGATATGAGTCACTCAAGCTGCTGGGAAAGATGAAAATTTAAAGAGGCAGTCTCAGCATTTGGGATCACTTTTATCTAAAGGATGTTTGTCAAGGCCAAAGAAGTATCTGAGAAGCTGAGCATCACTTTAGTAGCTTAGGGGGTCAAAAGTTGAAGTCCAGAGCCCACCAGGGATGGGTGCTCTGGTAAACCTCTACATTTTGTGCTATACAGAAATAAACCAGTCTTGAAAGGATTGCAATCCAGCTTTGAGCCATCTGGGCTGCCCAGAAAAATCCCAAGCCCTGAAAATGGACTAAAATGATCCCAGATTGAGGTGCCTGGGTGGCTCAGTTGGTTAAGTGGCCAATTCTTGATTTCAGCTCAGGTCATAACCTCAGGGTTGTTGGATCAAGCCCTGCATTGGGCTCTGCACTCATGCGGGCTCTGCCCCTCTCCCCACTTGCACGAGCTCTCTAAAATAAGTAAAGAAATCTTTAAAAAAAATGATCCCAAATTATAATCCTCCAGGTACCTGACAAAAACATCCCTAACTTTCTCTAGCAGAAAAGATCATCATCCTAAGCCTTCAACTATTTCTAAAAACAAATGTTTGAATATAATGTTCATCATGCAATCATAAATGACCAGTCACACAAGGAGAGAAGAAAAATAATAAAAGCAGCTCCCAAGGGGCTCAAGTTTGGAATGATCAGATATGGACTTTAAAATAACTATGTTTATGATGCTCGAGAAAATAAAAAATGTTATTAAAAACTTTGTGAAATAACTAAACATTCTAAAAAGTGACAGAACAAATTTGAAAAGAACCAAATGGAAATTCTAGAATTAAAAAATGCAATAACTGAAATAACCCAATGGATGAGTTTGAGAGCAGACTGGACATACCTGAAAAGAGAATCTGTGAACTGTAAGATACGTTTGGAATGAAGTTTGGAAAGGCAAAAGTAGGAATAAATAGAAGAGAGCAAGGGAAACAGGATACTTTTCTAACACTGGAATCCCAGAAGAAGTGAGCCAGTGGGATTTCAAAAATAATGGCTGAGGATTTTCCCATGAATCCACAAATTCATGAAGTCCTAGCAACCTCAGGCAGAAAAAAAAAAAAGGAAAGAAATCCATCTCTGAAATCATCATATTATAAGTACAGAAAATTTAAGATAAAGAGGAAAATCTTAAAAACAGTCAACAATAAAAGATTACGTTTAGAGGAACAAGAGTTAATATGATTACTGACTTATCAACAGTAACAATGGAAGCCCAGAGACAATGGGATCTATCTTCAATGGAAAGAAAATCACTGTCAATGCAGAATTCCATTCCCAATAAAAATATCCGTCAAGAATGAGAATGAAATAAATGATTTTCAGACAAGCAAAAACTAAGAGAATTCTTTACTGGCAGACCCACATTTAAGAAGACCCCGATGAGTATTCTTCAGGCAAAAGAAAAGTAATCCCAGATGGAAGGTCAGAGATGCAAAAGGAAGGAAAAGCAATCAAAGTGGAGAAGTTAGCAGGTTGAATTCTGTACAAGGATGTGATGTGGAAGAACTACATGGAACTGACTGACAGGGCGAAGTTATCTTGCTCCTATACAAGTTAGAAATTATATCTGGCAATCTTCTGAAAGAAAAGAGTTAAACCCTATTTTTGCATAGAATGTATTTTTTACTATTTTGGGGTGGAGAAAAATAAGATGCCATGAAGAAAAAAAATCAACAGATTCTACATGATTTTTTAAATATAAACAGCCAAGGAAAGAACTTACAAAGTAGTAACTGAGAGAAAATATTTACAAGAGCTTATCAGCTAAGATCAGGTTCAACTACATGTGGAATAGGATGTAGGGGTGGAAGGAGGTAGGGTAGAGGGTTCTTTTGAGGTATGAGGGACTATTAAACCACATATTTATTATTAATTGATAAAAATAGATAATGAGTTAAGATAGAAAAACTAAGAGAACTAAGTGTTTGATGAATGTAGAATTATAATTTGGTCTGGCAGCCAGTAGCTTTTTTTGTTTTCTGTTATGTGAGTTGAAACTATATTATAAAAGCAAATTTGTGATATTTTATGATACCAGAGCAAGATAAGGAATAGCCCTTTCCAGTGGCTTTTTAAAAAAATTTTAATACTTATATTTTCAATATAGTTTAATATTTCAGCATAGACTACATGTCCCTTAATGTCCCTCCTATCCCTAGAATTTTAACATTTATCCTAAATGCTATAAGAATTTCACTCCTGAATTATTGAGATGGAAGTTCTTTGTTCTAAGGGTAGGCCAACAGGGCTGCCAATGACTCTCTTCCATTGCTCTGAAAGGACATGATTACCACACAGAATTATTCCATCAACAATAGTGCTGTTGAGTGTCCCTCTCAGCGTATTCCTGTCTCACATTATCTAGTTTTCCAGTCCCCTTTTTTTCAGAGTGTCTCTATACATGCCCCTCTGCTCTCTCTCTCTCTTTTTTTTAAACACCATCCTAAATGATAGTTTATGTCAATGGCTGAATTGGATCATCAGTTCAGAAAGGTTCTGTGTAGGCAGGAATAGCTGGCTGGTAAAGCAGACATTTGGCATCAACTGAATTTTATTCACAGAGTGCATCAAGGTTCCAGGCAAAAGTGAGAAAGAATAAAATTGGCAGTTGGCCTCACTCACCTGCCGGAGCTTGGTTCCTACCATGGAGGCACTGCTGTCAAGCACAAATACCACGTTCTTGGGCAAAGGAGGTAGGTCTTTGGGGGCAAAGTAGTGCACAAAATAGCCATTTAGAACCTGGTGGAGGAAGAGAAAGTAAAAATGTGCCTGGAATAGGCAGGAAAACTACCTGAAATGGAGATTCTATATAAGTTCTACAATGAATGAAACATATGAAACAGATTTTATAAAGATAAAATCATCCCTTTAATACTTACCGCCTATGTTGACTAATTCAATTTTAATTATCCACCCCCTATGGCCCTTGCCGCTTGGAATTCCTGCTTCCTAATATGTGGTTTTTACAAGTTGAGATATCAAAGTTGTCTACATTCTGGATGCGTGCTAATGCATCTTAATATTCCCACCCTGTCTCTGGAGCCATAAAACCTAAAGGGAAATGAGCCATGGAACAGGCTCTCTTAATTAAAATTGAAGATGAACTAAAATTCTAACTTCATCTAAAACACCGCAGGGAAAATTACATTACAGATTTCATTTGCTCTCCAGATTACTGAAGCAGGAAATAGGAAGGGAACACCCTAGTCCCCTTGGAGACATATTTTAGGTTAAAACAAATTTCTAAGAACCAGAAAGTTCTCCCTCCCTTAGATAAGAACTGGAATCCTCGTTCTAACTAAAAGTATCAAGCAACTAACACAAAATGGCAACAATGAGCCCATTACCTGGATGTCCCCAATGCTCTGTTCCCTGTTGACATCATATCTAATGATGAAATCTCCCAAAATGCCATTCTGAGCAATCCTGGCTTGTTGGACCACACTTGGCTTAAAAGTGACTTTGGCGAAAGTGTCATTTTGGTTGATAACAGTAGAAGGAGGCAGCCCAGAATCATCTGCAAATAAGATACAAACATAATTCATAACTGCATGTATCAATATTTTTTTTGGAAAAGAAGCACGGCTGTTTTGCATGGACACAGAGGGCTAGACTTTATTTTATTGCAGGTTTATATTCCATATGAATTTCACAGACTTCGTACCGATAATCCATCACAGTGCAAGAGATGTTAGAGATTTCACCTTTATGCCTTCTTTTTCATCTTTTATGTGAATTTTTTAAACACACAAAAGTAGAAAGAATAGTAAAATGAACCCCCATGTACGTTTCACCCAACTTTTAACCATTATCAACCTCTTACCAATCTTTCGTATCTGTTTTTATGAATCCCCTCACCATCTCTTGCTAGAGTATTTTAAAACAAATCCCAGATATCGTATTTCATCTGTAGATACTTCAGTATATATCTCTAACTATAAGGACTTTTTTCCACATAACCACAAAACCATCATCACAAATTACAAAACCAATGCTCAATGTCATATTATCCCGAATATACTCAGTCTGTATTGAAGTTCTCCTGATTCTTTAGAATGTGTCTTGATATGGCTGATTCCTTCGAATCTGGATCAAAAAAAAAGACCATACACCACATCGGGTTTATGTTTCTTAAATCTCTTTTAATTTACAAGTGTTTCTTCTCATGCTACGTAAATGTGTTGTAAAACCCTGGTTATTTGTCCTGTGGAATTTCTCACATTCTCACATTTTCATGATTGTTTTGTCTTATCTTTTAACTTGCGTCTCGATTCCCCTGGTTTCCATCCTTGGTTTGCGCTGTAACATCTGGGGGAACTAGAAAAAAATACCGATATCCAGGCCAAGAGCTCATTTAATTGGTTTGGGGCATAACCTGGGTATCAGATATTTAAAAATCCCCCATGTGAGTCTACTGTGCAGTCGATATTGACAACCCCAGATCCATCTTCTCTGCTTCCCTGTGTTCTGGTAGGAAAGTTAGAGGCTTGCTTAGATGCAGGTCAGTACCACTGACAAAAACACTTCACAGGTGATGAGGTGAGGCTGAGTGCTTACCATTTTTTCACATCAGAAGCACACAGTATCTACCTGTCTGCTCTCAGCTGTAGTGAGAAAGATGGTGGGCTCCCATATTGTCAATCTGATCACCCATTATAAAGCTCCTCATCGATCTTTCACTACATAGTTTTACCAGACACTGTCAATGTCTGTCTGGATCCCCTATTCCATTAGAGTTATAAAAGGGTGGGGTCTAATTCTATCACTCCTTCTATATGGAAGTCTTCCAGAAGAAACACCTTCCCCCACCAATCATTTGGTTGCCCTAACATACTGTTTGTCCAGAAAGTTTATGGTTCTTTAAAAACAAAAAACAAAAACAAAAAAAACTCCCAAAGTTTCCCCTAGCATAAATCTTCAAATATAAATTAGACTTACAGGAAAAAAAACCCATAAATGGATTTTATATGATTTAAGAAAAGTTAGTGGGATGAAAGATTAAGTACAGCACAGCCGTTTTTTACTCCTGAACTTCCCGACCAACAGGGAATTACTTTGCAGACTACCCACCTTTATAAATCCAAACATCACCAAGTCTATATACTTAACAACAGAAATTCAAATTTTTTAGCTCTGCATGTGCCAAGAGGAATATAAAAATAAAATGGAGGATACATAAATGTCAGTATATGTGGAGACTTTATCCAGATATTGAATCAAAGCCAGGCTTAAAACTGCTGCAAAGCATCTGATCATTTTTTTTAAATCTATTCAAGTCGATGCCATGCATAGAGTGAGCTGATCAGCAATCTTCCATCCCTAATTAGCAAAATAAAATAGGAAACAAGGCATAATTTGCCCATGGTAATTTGCACGTAAGAATAAACTTCCTCTTGCTAAGGGTTTATTAGACATTAAAATCAGAGGAAGTTTAAACATTTCCTTCAACAGAACAGACAATTATTTTTCAGAGACAATTTAGGTGTAACCTTAACAGGAACCACAGGGCAGAACTGATTCTTCTATTATTTGCACCCATTGAGGGCAGAGGTTTCAGGAGCGACCAGAAAGCCAGCAATTAGGAGATCTTCTTCTTATTGAAGACAGTTGTATGAAAGATAACATGCTTCCAACAGATCTGCCCATCTGAAGAAGGAGCTGGGAAAATCTCAATGGCACGTTGACAAGTGCTGGCCTCCAGCTCACCAGCATGGGCGTCGACACCTGAGAACCACTACAGAGCCGAAAGGAAGAAAGGCTGAAAATGGAAACGTTTTTGAAAGAGAAGGAACCTGCATACTCTTCCGAGTCAGTCTCTCATGCGGTGATTACTGGTAAAGCACCAAGAGTGAGAGGCATGATAACACAGCTGAGAACTCGGAATCATGAATGAGTCAGAAGGACCTGCATTCGATACTGGCTCAACCTCTCTTTACCAGTGAGACTTTGGGCAAGTTACCGAGCTTTGGTTATCTCATCTGCAAAATGGGTTAATGGTCTACCAAACTCACACTATTGAAAAGATCAAGTGATGTCATGGACCGTAGTCCCTCCTTATCCCCACCCTTATCCCTGTATATACTATGCTTTTTTGAATACATACATATGTATTAATTTATAAGTTAGGCATAGTAAGTGATTAACAACAACAGCTAATAATAAAATACAATTATTAGAACATACTGCAACAGGACTTATGTGTATGTGGTCTCTCTCTCAAAATATCATCCTTCTTAGGATGACGGGAGAGGATAAAGTGCTTACGTGCTGGATGAAGTGAGGTGAGGAATGTAGGCGCTGTGACACAGCATGAAGCTCCTACTGCCTTCTGACCACATGTCAGAACGAGGACCATCTGCTTCCAGGACCGTGGGTGACCGGGGATAACGGTGACTGAGGGACACGAAACCATGGGTAAGGGGGAACGACTGTACTTGGGCCATTCTGATTCATGCCAGCCAACGTTATTATAAACCTTAACAATATACAAAGTAGGAAAAGGGCCAGGGAATTAAATGTAAGACAATTCAACAGATGAAACTTGGGATAGTACATGCAGCAAAAAGGAAAGAACTACTGCTGTCTATGCAGCATCTTGTAGTCATTTTGAACATAGATACAGAAAAGAATACTCTCTAGACTTCTATTTACATACAGCTCAAGAGCAAGCACGACTTGGGGCGCCTGGGTGGCTCAGTCATTAAGCGTCTGCCTTTGGCTCAGGTCATGATCCCAGGGTCCTGGGATCGAGTCCCGCATCAGGCTCCCTGCTCGGCGGGAAGCCTGCTTCTCCCTCTGCCCCTACCCCTGCTTGTGTCCCTTTCTCGCTGTATCTCTCTGTCAAATAAATAAATAAAATCTTAAAAAAAAAAAAAAAAAAGAGCAAGCATGACTTTGTCCACAGGACGCAGAATGATGGTGAAGAATGGTAGCCACCTTTGGGGGGTGAGTACCTACTGGGAAAGGGTGCGGGAGTCCTTTGGGGTGGTGAAAATGCTCTAAGTCTTGGCCTGGAAGTAGCCGTCTGGGTGTATACACATGTGAAAATTCATCAAGCTGTACACATGAGATTTATACACTTTATTCTACGCATACCCCAATTTTTTAAAAATCGGAACTCGTTGGGAGTTGGGATGGCAGAACAGAATGAACAGGCATTCCCTAGAATGGAACGGATCAACGTTATTTGCCAAACAGAGCCTATCTGCTCTTTTCCTTAGGATAAGTCTGTTGTGTAGGCATTTATATGGGGATTAGGTGTATTCAGAGTAATTCCAGCTGGCAGAATTAGGACCGGGGGTAGGGTTACTGGGAAGCACTCTTCGTGCAGCCTCAAAAAGCTCTAGGAAAGATGTCCCCTGTGGGCAGAGGCAGCAGTCACAGCCCATCTCGCTGGAAGTGTTCAAACAAACCCACTGGCGGGGATGGTGCCGAGCGCCTCTCGTGACGTGGTCTGGGACCAGCAGCAGCGGCATCACCTGCGCACTTGCTAGAAACACAAATTCTTGGGCCCACCCAGAAACTCTGAATCCGAAACTCTGGAGGGGGACCCAGAAAGCTGTATTTGATTAAGGCTTGCAGGTGAGTCTGGTTCTTGCAGAGACAATGGTCACGTGCCCTTGGTGTATGTAATTAGGCGGCACTAGATTATCTCCAACTTTAAAATTCTACGTTAGATTCGACCCTCTTTATACTATCAGCATGTACCTACTCTTCCTTGTTTCAAATCTCTCTCATTGAAATGCTCTTTACAACTCCCCTGAATTAATACCATTCATGGTTGAGTGAAAGCACTGAGGATTAAAGAGTATAATTTCTCTCTTCATAATTCATTTGACTGGGGTCTTTGATATAAGCCATGAGAAAGATAGCGTATTATTATTTTGGTTTCCTATTGACCTCTGATGTTTGCTAGTTCATGATGAAAATTCATGAGATTCCTCTAAATGGGCTTATTTTCTATGCCCAAAGAGTGGGTTGATTCCCGCTTTGGTTAAATACCAAGAAGCCTAACTCCTGGGGCTGACTTCCACCCATTAAGTATCAGACAGTCAATGTGACCCAGTGAATTTGCCATTAACTACCAAAAAAAAAAAAAATTTTGCTGGGAAAAATTCCAGAGCAATAACTCTAGAAAATAAAATCATCTTTTTACCAGAGAAGGAAAAAACCTTTTCATCAATGAGGTTAATCTAGGCTGCCCCAGAGTTACTGACCAACATCTCAAACCAGAATAATACTGTTTAGCTTTTCCTTGTGTGAATCGTGGCTCGTCTTGCTGATGGCCACAAAACAGCTCATGAGCACAATGAACTTGATTTACAGGCCCTCCACAGTCACGTGTGCTCGTAACGTAATGAAGAGTGCAAGGGAAGAGGCCTGGAGCAGACCAAAAGAGTGAGACTCTGACCTACTTTTCTAATGAGAGCCCACACATCTCTTCCTGCTCTTGGCTTTCTCCCCTCAGTGCCCACTTTGTTAGGGGAAGGAGTGCAGTGCCGTGATTGCTCTGGATTG